CGAATTACGAATACGATGGTTAGAGAGCGATTGAAGTTTTTATCATATTATTAATTGTAATAGTTGTTGAAGATATTCGCTGTTTATTGTGTCAGTATTTTATATATGTCATGTTAATTTTCGTTCCTCATGTGTTCTTCAGGATGACCTGTTTTTCATTATTGAACAGTGTCACATGTGAAATCATAATTAGGGCAACCAAGTACCTCTCTTTTTTTCGATGCTACGGTTTTTTTAGATTTTTTTGGATGACTTTTTTTTGTGATATGCATATCTGGCATAAACAAGCTCAGTATTACGTGGGTTAAATGCTACCAAAAACTCTTTTTTATAAATTTTGTTGTCTTCTTGTAGTGACAGATTCGTTCGTTTATATGTCAAGTTCTCTGAGACCACGCAACTGCATAAAATTATAATAAATTACTTTTTTTATCAGTTTTACGTGTTGTCTAATAGGATGTTTTTTTATGCATTCAAGAAAGATGAGCTCAAGAATTTTTTGTGCATCCCAAGGATTGCACTAGTACTGTGGATAGGAAAATTCCCTGCTAACTTTACATCAGTCACATAGTTACGAGAAAAAAATTTACAGGTGACAGCGGAGAAGCAAAAAAAAACTGACAATTTTTTGTGGGCAGATAGGCTGGAAGATTCTATGGTCAAGAGTGATCGAGCATAGAGAGTATCCCTAGAAAACGACTTAGTATTTTCCTATTTCAATTGGATTACCTCCGGATCAACTTAATCCCATATATTTTTTGCTTTAGTTATGGATGCTCTTACTGCACATTTACAGGAAGATGTATGAATGTTTTTTGCTTATAATATCCTTCTAGTAGTAGTTCTAGTGAGAAAATTGTAATAATGGATGATCAAATCATTAACGAAGAATGAATGTTTTAGATGTCTCGGGTCTATTGTTCAATGTGATGGTGATGTTATTAGTAAAATTTAAGTTGGATGGTTGAAGTGGAAGTATGCATCAAGCATATTGTGTGATAGAAAAGTACCGTTTAGACTTAAAAGGAAAATTTTATAAGATTGGTGAGAATTGCAATGACTTATGGCGTAGAATGTTGGCCTATAAAAGAGAAGCATGTGTTGATATGACTTACATTCAAATCATTAAAGATATGTATACTAGAGAAGACGTGTTGATATGACTTACATTAAAGTCATTAAAGATATTTAGAGTTGTTACTTGTGTTCGAACAGAAGAGAATTGACCAATTACTTTCCTATTTCTATTGGATTACCTCCGGATCAACTTAATCCCATATATTTTTTGCTTTAGTTATGGATGCTCTTACTGCACATTTACAGGAAGATGTATGAATGTTTTTTGCTTATAATATCCTTCTAGTAGTAGTTCTAGTGAGAAAATTGTAATAATGGATGATCAAATCATTAACAAAGAATGAATGTTTTAGATGTCTCGGGTCTATTGTTCAATGTGATGGTGATGTTATTAATATCTTTTTTGCTTTAGTTATGGATGCTCTTACTGCACATTTATAGGAGGATATATGATGTTTTTTGCTTATAATATCCTTCTTGTGGATAAAACTGGAGAGAGTTTTGAAAAAAATTGAATTATGGAGGTCTACATTAGAGTCTAAGGACCTTCATTTGAGTAGATCTAAAACCGAATACATGGAAAATAATTTTAATAGTAGTAGTTCTAGTGATAAAATTGTAATAATAGATAATCAAATCATTAACAAAGAATGAATGTTTTAGATATCTCGGGTCTATTGTTCAATGTGATGGTGATGTTATTAGTAAAATTCAAGTTAGATGGTTGAAATGGAAGAATGCATCAAGCATATTGTGTGATAGAAAAGTACCGTTTAGACATAAAAGGAAAATTTTATAAGATTGGCGAGAATTGCAATGACTTATGGCGTAGAATGTTGGCCTATAAAAGAGAATCATGTGTTGATATGACTTACATTCAAGTCATTAAAGATATGTATACTAGAGTTGTTACTTGTGTTCGAACACCCATATCTTTTTTTGCTTTAGTTTTTGCTTTAGTTATGGATGCTCTTACTGCACATTTACAGGAGGATGTATGTGTATACTAGAGAAGACGTGTTGATATGACTTACATTCAAGTCATTAAAGATATGTATACTAGAGTTGTTACATGTGTTCGAACAGAAGAGAATTGACCAAGTATTTTCCTATTTCAATTGGATTACCTCCAGATCAACTTAAGCCCATACCTTTTTTGCTTAGTTATGGATGCTCTTACTGCACATTTACAGGAGGATGTACGTATGTTTTTTGCTTATAATATCGTTCTTGTAGATAAAACTGGAGATAAAACTGGAGAAAGAGTTTTGAAAAAATTTGAATTATGGAACTCTACATTAGAGTCTAAGGACCTTCGTTTGAGTAGATCTAAAATCGATACATGGAAAATAATTTTAGTAGTAGTAGTTCTAGTGAGAAAATTGTAATAATGAATGATCAAATCATTAACAAAGAATGAATGTTTTAGATATCTTGAGTCTATTGTTCAATGTGATGGTGATGTTATTAGTAAAATTCAAGTTGGATGGTTGAAGTGGAAGAATACATCAAGCATATTGTGTGATAGAAAAGTATCGTTTAGACTTAAAAGAAAAATTTTATAAGATTGGTGAGAATTGCAATGACTTATGGCGTAGTATGTTGGCCTATAAAAGAGAAGCATAAAAACTATGTTAGGTGTTACTGAGATGAGAATGCCTAGGTGGATGCGCGACATGGCACTTAAGAGATAAAATGCGGAACGACTGTATCCAAGAAAATGTATGTATGTTTTCTGCTGATCAAATCCTTCTTGTGAATAAGACTGGCGAAAGAGTTCAAAAAAAATTTTGAATTATAGAGATCTACACTATTGCCTAAAAACCTTAGTTAAGAAAGGTGAATGTAGACCTTTGGCGTAGTATGTTGGCCTATAAAAGAGAAGCATAAGGTGTTACTGAGATGAGAATGCCTAGGTGGAAAAATATGACACTCAATAAGACAATGGAGAAAAAGGATTCATATAGCCAACCCCTCTTAGGGGGAAAAAGATTTATTGTTATTGTTATGAAGATTATAATGATTTATGTTCAAAATAAGGTATCTAAATAGATGCTATTTGTAGATGGCATAAACCTGTTAAATATTGCCTCTATTAGATAAAATGAAAAATTAGAATAATGAATAAACCGCTAATAAGATAAATGGCTTATGATTAATGAAACAAAGAATATTTAAAACATATGAAATTAGAGAATGTGAAACACCTAATAAGATAAATAGATTATGATTAGTGAAGCGTCGAATATTAAAATGATATGCAATTAGAGAATGTGAAATTGATAATCACTAGATAATATTGCTAAAATATAAAGTGACGAAAGAGTGAAACGTTTAAGCACATTAGATCTACGTAATGAAGAAAATAAAATAGAAAATGAAACTTCTAAATTTAAATTGAGAGATCAAAGTGAAAAATACACCATGAGTATTTGCAAAAAGAAGACATCCTTGAAATTATGAAGTATATTTTGTAGAAAAATCAAATAAAAAATATGATATGTACCTAAGATTCATTAAACAAAGAAGCCATTAATAACAAAGATAAGTTTAATATAATTTAAATAATTTAAATAAGTGTGGAAAAATAGTTAAGATAAGTTAAAATGGGTAGAGGTTTTGCAAAATAAAGTTATCATCCCATGTAACACTCAGCAAAATGATGGTAGGATTATTAGGCAAATTCAATATTTTTTAAAGAGATCCTATACTTCTGAATTTTACCAAGCATACATCTCATGATGCTCTCCATTGTACCTTCCGTGAAAATTTGTTGCTCCAATATAGAGTAGGTTTTGACATTAAAAAAGAAACTAAACCAAAAGAGCCTAGTTAATAGGGTTATGTGAAGAAAAATATTAAATCAAAAGATAATTTTAAAGAGGTAATATAAATACATTCTTCGTTAAAAGAAGTGAACCTAAAATAAGTGTATAATTTAATAGTTGAGGGATAACACCATCCAAATGCATCCAAAACACATGGAAAAAATTTTTAATTACGAACTCTAGTGAATTAGAAGTACTGCTAACGCAAATGTAACGGAACATAGATGCATCTGAAAGACACATTAATTAAGTCTCATTTCATATTAATTCGCAAGGCTAACACTTCCTTATTTTCCTACCGACGCCTATTATCCCAGCACACAACTTGCTTCCATCACTTAAGTTGCTTGATGATTTATGTTAATCATCCATTAGTTGCTTGTACCCAAGTCCACAAAGCCTTTCTGTTGCTTCATTGTTTTGAAAAAAAAAATTAATATTTTGTTGAACCTCTAAGCAATTCAGCAACTGGGATTCTTGTAATTCATGAAAAATGAAATGAAACCTGTGGTGTTTTATTAAAATTTCTGTGGATTTTGTGCAGTTTCATATTTTGGATCATTTGTGGTCTATAAATTGAAACATTTCACGCATGTAAAATTTATTGGACATCAAATTACTAAAATATTTTTTTTGTTTTTTCCATTCTTTCCCGCATGTAAAATTTATTGGACATCAAATTACTAAAACATTTTTTTTGTTTTTACTATTCTTTGAATGTGTATTATTGCATGAAAGTTCTTTGAGTGTTTCATGGATGTGGACTGCTACTTTTGAGGGTGACTCCTTGTACTAGCATGAGGCTTGGTTCTTCTCTTTCTGGATGACTTCTATCATTATAATTGCCTTTTAAATTAATTAAACATTGGATTTGTTTGGTGACTAAAATTTTTCTACCATCAGTGTCAGGTTTTCATTTTTAAGTGTGCGCTCTACTAGAATTTTAAATTTGTTTGTTCTCTTTGGAATTTCAGACTTTGAGGAATTGTTAAATTAGTGCAAAAATAAATAAATTTCTATCACCGTGGTAAAAAAAAACCTCTCAATCACAACTGCAAGAGCTTAAAGAACTTCTAAGCAACAATATAAACTAACAACACTTACCTTGCAAAATGCTTTGAAAACTGGAAAAATAAAGTCATCGTCAACCACGACTTCTGCATGCCTTCTTATTAATGTTATCCACTGAAATGAAAATTTTAACGCAAGTTACGTTAATCCCCTATAGCTTAAGAAAAAATATGAACAAGAAGCTACTTCATGATTCTAATATTAAAGGAGAAAAACCTGAGATCCTTTCCTCCATTTGTGCTTGGGGATGGAAGGAGCCATTTTCTCATTGTAACGACGCTCCTTTTTGTCTGAAAAACTGGAATAAGGAATCACATTAGTTTTTACATGCTTTTCAACATGGAAAGCATGATAAAATTAAAAAGAAAGGCAATTGCAAACTTTTATAACTGTTTATAAGATGGACCCCACCCCCACCTCGCCCACAACAAAAACTACCCAAGACTAAAACCACTATCAAAAAATTAAAAAAAATCACTTTCTGTTGAAAATTTCAAAAAATTAAAAAAAATTTTAGAGGGAAACCATGACTAATCTTACAATTCAAAAAACCACTACTTTTTGTTCAATATTGCAAATAGAACCATCAATTGTTTACTTTTTTTGGTTGTATATAAAAAAGATGTGGATCACTAATATATATTATTTACAGAAAATTTGGTTTAGGATACCACATACCGCCAAAAAAAGTTCGGGTGAGGGCATTTACATACATGCCACCTATGCATTTACATATCTAACACCTAAACCTTACTTTTTTACATTTACACCGCCCAAATCTTTCATATGACAACAAAAATATCACTATTTTCCCTTTTAAAAAGTGGTTATTTTCCGTGCATGGGTAAGCATTATATATAAAAAAATTTAAGTTTAGGTGCTACATATGTAATTACAAAAGACTTGAGTGGTGTGTGTGAAAATCATCCAAAAGGTTATTTCTTTTGCTAAAATAACATGAATTGAGTGTTTTACTTTCACGATGGATATCCAGGACTTGATTTATAACTAATGTTGCTTTAGTATGTGTGCCAATCAGGGGTGTATGAAAAGAAATAAACCTCTAGAAAGGGAAGTAGACAACCCAGAAGAAAGAGAAAATATTGCATCCGAAGTCCAGAAAGTTCTGCGTCCAAACACAAAGGTGCGTCTGGACTCCTAATGCAATATTTTCTCCAAAAGAAAGCACTCAAGTGAGATGGATTTAAAATAACTAAAATGCACACATGCCATATCTTACCTGTCCACAAAACTTTTACGGGAGGACATCAAATAGTTATACACATAATCGAAGTTGTAAAGTGGAACACAGCTGCAGAAATAAGAGCCTAATAAAATACTCACATCAAAGGCAGACAAATATACATCTATATCTTCAAATATAACAATGCAGAAACCAAAAAAGTAAATCTAACACAGAAGAGCTCAACAGCAGAGGCTCCTCTCAAATAAGAAAGAAAGAAATGTTCATGCTAGATTTTATACAATACTGCACCTATAAATTAAATTTCATGCTCTTTAACAAGAAAAAATTATTGCATACGGACACCACATGTATAGATGCATGCGGTGTCCGATCTACAGATCTACATTGTAGATCACATCAATCTATGGTGATGATATATTTCGATTTTTTATTTAAAAAATAAAATTAAAAATTTAAAGTGGGACCCACCGAAATGCATCCTCACCGTAGATCACCGTGATCTACAGTGTAGATCGGACACCACATGCATCTCTGCATGCGGTGTCCGTATGCAATAATTTTTCTTTTAACAAAAAGTTAATGCTAAATAGAAACATGATTTGAAGCAACATGATCCTTTAAAAAGCAGTTATTGCTAAAATCTTCCTATACTTATGATATTTGAACATTTCTAGGATATTTCTAGGACCGTTAAGAATATGGCCAAATAAGTTTATTTTAAGCATTTTGATTCCATGATTTAACATATAATTGTGTTTAAAATGGACGAAATCAAATTGCTGAACTTACATCCGAATACAAGATATGGGATGGGAACAATATCAGCCAAATAAGTTTATTTTAAGCATTTTGATTCCATGATTTAACATATAATTGTGTTTAAAATGGACGAAATCAAATTGCTGAACTTACATCCGAATACAAGATATGGGATGGGAACAATATCATATATATATATATATATATATATATATTCTTCAAAATATATTCTTTTCGTGTGAAAAAAAATAGAAAAATCTTCGGTGTCATCCAAGTGATAGGTTGTCAAGTATCACTTGGAAGACGATCTCCCAACTTCCACTGACCCATTTGAGAAAGGAAAGCTTCTACTATTTCAAGTTAAATAAAAGAGCACCTATCAGAAAGCAAAACAAAACGTTGGTTTGCAGGATCCTGTAGAGCTGCTCTAAGCAGCAACCGCTCAGCTTCAATCATGCTGGCCTCCCCCCACTTCACCTACATCAAAAACAACAAATAGTCCTCCAGAATAAAAGAGAAACACCGAAACTTCAAAAATAAAACAAAAAAAAACTTGAGCAAAACGACGGCCGATCGAAAACCTGCACGCTATCCTCTACATGACGGCCGTAGAAGAAGGCTGACCTCGTCGTCGACTGATCAAACTTGAACCCCGGCTTCGAGTGAACATATATAGAGATATTCCCTGCTCCAGCATTCTAACAAACACCATGACAACAAAAAATAATAATAATCATAATCTAAAATCCAAAATTTCCATAACATAGAAAGTCGAACGGGATACCTTGAAGAAGTTATGCCAAACGAAATCAAGGCGCAGGCCCGCGCGGGCGAGGAAGAGGAAAGCGATCTTCGGTTGACCGGAAAAAGGAATAGGGTCTCGGTAAAGAAGCGTAGGCGTCGGTGGGTTGGGTGCGTAGGACTGAATCCTTAGAAGGACGAAAAGGAAAGCGAGGACTGAGATGGCTGCGACGAGTTCAAGACACAGCCATAAGCGCCGGCGAAAGGGCGCCGGAGCTAACGGCGGCGCTGCCCGTTTCTTCGACATGTAACGGAATGGATGCATGACAATAGGGAGCGTCGCATTTAAAGGCCGTCGGGTACTCCCGTGACGTTCCCACAGGCCACGTCTATTCAGTCTCTATGGATGCATGACCGGCGAAAGGACTTTCAGTAATTTCAAACAGGATTAAATTTAAATTTATGATATTTAGTACATATGTCCGAAAAAATTTATTTAAAATGAATTGAAGGCCCTTTTAATGCTGGCCAAATGACGCTCAGTCAAACATCCCCGTGATTCATGAATCTATTAGTGGACGATTTTATTTGTATATATATATATACACCACGGAATTCTTTTATATTTACGCATAAAACATATAAAATTTATTGTTACATTTAAATTATTCATCTTTGTATTAAAAGATATATTTCACTTATTGTGTCTAACATATTAAATTCATGTAAAGTTTAATTTTTTCATCTATATAATGTAAAGTTAATTATTATAAATGTAAGAATTAAATTTTTGGTGTTAGATATACAAATGTTGAAGCTAAAAGTATCGGCCGAACC